CCCAGGGAATGGTCGAGACCTCTGAGGGTCGGCGTTGGGGGGGGGGAAAAAAAAAAAATGTCGTCGGGGGTCTGGGGGCGCCCCCCGCTCCAGGGCGGCACGACCTGCACACGTCCACGGCCGCTGGCCGAGCCCAGCCTGGGCCCCAGGGGCGGTGCGCCGCCCCCCCTGGCCACGCCACAAGGGGGCGCGGGCGTCGCTCCTGGGCCCCGGAGGGGCCTGGCCAGGGGCGGTGGACGCGCATGCGCCCCGGCGGTGTTTTAGGGGTATTGGAGGAGGAGGAGGAGGAGGAGGAGGAGGAGGAGGGGAGGAGGAGGAGGAGGAGGAGGGGAGGAGAGGGGAGGGAGGAGGAGTAGGAGGAGGAGGAGGAGGAGGAGGAGGAGGTGCACCCCGTGTTGAGGCCCAGGGGGCTCCGAAGGGCTGCAAGGCACAGCGGAACGCCAGGGGGATGCCCTGGGCCTTGGCCTCTCCCGGCAGCGCCCAGAGATTCGCTCGCGCTGGGCTGTGCCCCGGTCTCCAGCAGCGCGAAAACCTCTGGGGGGACCAAGAAAGCAGCGACACGGAGTACGCTCTGGGGTGCGCTGTGGCCAGAGTGTCGAGGAGAGTTCAGCCCTGGCGACGAGCACCTCCAGGACGAGCAGCGGCATCCGTACCTCTTCCTCGTCCTCCAACTGCCTCTCGGGGCCCCCCTTTGCCCGCAGAACGAGCACATCCACGGCGAGAGGCCAGTCCTGGAAGAAGGGGCTCGACAGCCCAGAGGCCCTCGCCGTGAGGGCGGGCGCGGCGCCGGAGGCCCTCGCTCCGCCCCCGCCGCTGGAGGCGCCCCGCCTGCAGCAGAGCGCCGCGCGCGCACAAACAGGCATCAGCTGGAGGCACACGCCGCCGGCTCCACGAGCGGCTAGGGCTGCCCCCTCACCGACAGCGCCAGCTCGTGCGCGCCCGCTGGCGCCTCCGCCTGCAGCGCCAGGCTCTCCTTCAGCCACCCGAGGCCGACCACGGACGCGCCGCAGCCGCGCAGCCGCGCGGCCTCCGCGGCGGACACCCGGACGGGCGCCGCCTCCGCGAGCACGTACCGGCAGCCCTGGCACGGCCACGTCGCGTGCACCTCGGCCCCTGCCAGGCGCAGCACGCCGCACCAGGTGGCGACGAAGCCCCGGCTGCCGAGCACGTGCACTGCCAGGGGCGGCTCGCGACCCTCGAAGCAGCGCCGCGGCCCGGGCTGCATCGTGCACGGCCCGCGCCCGCCCCCGCGGCCCCGAAGCGCCAGGGCGTGCGGCTCCACGGCAGCGGGCGCGCGGGCCAGCGCCGTCGCGTCGAGCCAGCCCCTGGCCACGGGCGGCAGCCCGAGGGCCAGGGCGGTCAGGAACTTCACAGTCGTGGCCCCGCGGCAGGCCACCACGGCCAGCAACCCGCCCTGCGGGGGCCGCGCGGGCAGCCGCTCGGCGACGCTCGCGCCGCACTGCAGCGACAGCGCGCGGAGCTCCGAGCTCTCCTCCACGGGGGTGCCAGGAATGCGGGGCCTGTTTTCCACCACCACCACCACCACCAGTTGGAGGAGGAGGGCGTCCTCCTCCTCCTCCTCCTCCTCCTCCTCCTCCTCCTCCTCCTCCTCCTCCTCCTCCTCCTCCTCCTCCTCCTCCTCCTCCTCCTCCTCCTGCAGGCCCATCAAGGAAGGTGGCCCTGGCCCAGGGGGCCCCCAGCTTCTCGCTCCAGCTCGGACCCCTGGGGCCCTCTGGGCCTCGTGGAGGCCGCTCCTGAGGCCGCGGGGGGCCTCCTTGAAGGTCCTCTGGGGGCACCTCGGGCCAGGGGCATGTCCAACGAAGCCCCCTCCTCTGGCCCAAAGCCGGTCAGCATCACCACCCAGCCCTGCAACGGGCGGTACTGTCGGGCCTCTGCGGGCCGACGAGCCACGGCGTCGGCGCCTCTGGCCACGGACACTCGCCGCCGCTTGGCATCGCCACTCGGGGGCGCACGCGCGGGCCTGCCGCTAGGAGCCCCGCGGACGCCGCGGCGTCCGCGGCTGCTGGAGAGCCGCTCGGCTGCGCCCGCGCCGTACACGTGCTTCATCACCAGCACCTGCGAGTCGAAGTAGTCCCTCCGGCACTTGGTGCCGCTGGCCTGCCTCCAGGCGGTCGACGTCTTACTCATCCATGCCCCCGCTCACGCCCCAGTCCCACCACGAGGCTGGAGGGGGGGGCATGCATCAGCGTCTTGCCCCGGGCGTCGAGCTGTGCATCCATGCCCTGCCCCTCCTGATCCCCAGGGCGGGAGGGAGTAGCATTGGGTCGGGCATGTTCTCCTACGGGCGGATGTTGGATGAAGCAATGAAAAATATACAGAAAATATTCAACACACAATCAAACAATGGTCGAAAAATCGTCCCCGTAATATTTTTTGGCTATTTTTGAAAATTCCTGTAGGGGGACATGCCCGATTTAAGAGTAGCAGCGTGGGCATGGATCGAGCGGCCATCGCCAAGCCTCTGCACGCCAGGGGGCATGTCCGCAGACCCGCGACTGCCGGGGTGACAACACCTGTAAGAGACGGTTGCCCGCCCCCTCCTGGCCTTGATGTGAGGCCCCTCCCTCTGCCCCCCTCTCGCTAATTCAAGCTGTACGCGGCCCGCTTAGCTTCGACCGGAAGAGGTGCGCTCTCGACCCGCGGATCAAAAAAAGAGACGGTTGCCCGCCCCCCTACCGTGTGCGGAGGGCGAGCGCGCCAGCGTACAGCCCAGACCCAGGGGGCCCCAAGAGGATCCACTGGGTCCTGGAGGCCACCAGAGCGGCCCAGGATAGCCCAAGGTGGCCTCCACGACGGCCCAAACATGTCCCAAGATAGATCAAGATGGTATCCTCGATGGCCTCATGTGACCCCAGGATGAATCAACGGTGGCCCTCAAACGTCTCAAGGCGGCCTCCGAGGGGCCGTTGACGGACCTTGGCAACCCAGAGCCGCATCGCGGATCCCCACCTGCTGCAGCCCCGCGGAGAGGCACAGGACTCCAGGACTTGGACGCCTGCTGGCTCCTTTCCGACCCATCTCGGGGGCGGGGATATATGTACATGCATGCGCAGCTATCGGTAGACAATAATATACAGGGAAACAGGGTTTTAGAATACATACATGCATACATACATGCATGCATGCATGCATGCATGCATGCGTACATACAAACGCATATACATATGCATATAAAGCTACATGCACATATATATAGATACACGCATACATATACACATTCACATACATATACATAAACATATACATATACCTATATATATATATATGTGTAAATATGCATATACATATACATATATCATATATATATATAAGTGTACGTAAACATATACATATACCTATACATATACTTATAAATTTACACACCTACATATACATATACATATACATATACATATACATATACATATACATATACATATACACATACACAGACATGTACATATACATATACAGTTGCATCTACGTATACATGTACAGCTACATACACATTGACATGTGCCTATGAATACACACATGCAAATACACGTACCTATACCTATACCTATAAATAGACTATACAGATATGCAAAGATAGACATGCGTTCACTTACATACATTCATACATGCATACATGCATGCATGCATGTATGCATGCATGCATGCATACAGACATGCATACAGGCGTGCATACATGCATAGATACATGCATATGTACACGTATGCGTGTATGCATGCATATCTGTATGTGTATATATATATGCACGCATACATACATACACACAGCACACATACAAACAACCAATCATGCATGAATACATACATGCACCCATACATATATACATACATACATACATGCAGACATGCATGCATGCATGCATGCATACACGCATACAAACATACATACATGCATGCATACCTACATACAGACAAACATGCATGCATGCATGCACCTACATACGTACATACCTACATACATTCAGATAGCTAAATCTACGCATGCACGCATGCATACATGCATACATGTATGTATGCATACCAATATACATAGACACATGGGTTCATGCATACATGCATACATACAAACAAAAAGACCTGTATGCATACATGCATACGTACATACATACATGCATGCATACATACATGAACGCGTACATGCACATTTAGAGACAAACATACATGCACTTATATATATATATATATACATATATATATATATATGTACATACATGCATACATGCATAAATACATAAATTCATACATGTATACATACAGAAAGGCATCCATACGTAAGTATGCATGCATACGTATATACATACACACACGCATTCATGCATGCACACATGCATGCACGCATACGTACATACATACATACACGCACACATGCTTACACATACATACAGACATGCATGCATGCAGGCAGAGATGCATACATGCATACAAACATGCATACATACAGATGCTCATGATTTCATATGCATGCATGCATACATACCTGCATACGTTGGTATGCACCTGCGTATATACATACACACGCATACATACGTGCATACCTACATACATGTAAATGTACATTCATGCAGACAGTCAGACAGACAGCTATGCATGTATACATACATGTGTGCATGCACATCTTGATCTAAAAACAGAAGCGCGCATCTACTATATAATACCAACTAAGTACATATGTAGCTATACATACATACATGTATGTAAATATAGATATGCATGTACTGCGCAGCTCGAATCTATTCGAAGGCACGAGGGCCCCATGCAGCTCAAACTTCTTCGAAGGCGCCAGGGCCTTATGCAGCTCACACTTCTCCGAAGGCGCGAGGGCCTCCGAGAGTCACCCATGCCTCCCCGGGGGCACGGCCCCGCTCGCCCCCGCCCCGTCCCTGCGCGGCCTGCGCGCGCCGATGGAGGTGGAAAATGGAGCACGGGCGGGCGGTGGACGCGAACCCAGGAGGGAAATGAGTCCGCCTCTCTCCTCCTCCTCCTCCTCCTCCTCCTCCTCCTCCTCCTCCTCCTCCTCCTCCTCCTCCTCCTCCTCCTCCTCCTCATCCTCATCCTCATCCTCATATCATCATCATCATCATCATCATCATCATCATCAACATCATCATCAGCATCATCATCATCATCATCATCATCATCATCATCATCATCATCAACATCATCATCATCACATCTCCTCATCACCCCATCACTCCTCATCCTCCTCATCCTCCTTCTCCTCCCTCCCCCTCCTCCTCCTCCTCGTCCTCCCTCACTCCTCCTCCTCTTCCGCCTCCTCCTCCTCCTCCTCTCACTCCTCCCCTCCTTCCCTCCTCCTCCTCCTTCTCCTCCTGCTCAGCCTCCTCCTCCTCCTCCCCCTCCTCCTCCTCTCGTCCTCCTCCTCCACTCCTCCTCCTCCCTCCTCTTCCTCCTCTTCCTCCTCCTCCTCCTCGTTCCTCCTCCTCCTCCTCCTCCTCCTCCTCCTCCTCCTCCTCCCTCCTCCATCCGCTTCCGCTTCCTCCTCCTCCTCCTCCTCCTCCTCCTCCTCCTCTCCTCCTCCTCCTCCTCCTCCTCCTCCTCCTCCTCCTCCTCCTCCTCCTCCTCCTCCTCCTCTCTCCTCCTCCTCCTCCCTCCTCCTCCTCCTCGCTCCTCCTCCTCCTCCTCCTCCTCCTCCTCCCTCCTCCTCTTCCCTCCTCCCCTCATCCTCCTCCTCTTCCCTCCTCCGCCTCCTCCCCTCCTCCTCCTCCTCCACCTCCTCCTCCTCCTCCTCCTCCTCCTCCTCCTCCTCCTCCTCCTCCTCCTCCTCCTCCAAGTCCCAGGCTTCTGAGAAGCCCCGCCGCCTTCTGAGAAGCCTTCGCCCTCTCACTTCCCCCGTGGGCTCGCCGCCGAGCTCTGCACAGCACATCTGCCAGGAGCTCCCATTCGGCCAGGCCCAGGAGGCTTCCAAGAGGCCTCCTGTCCACGGCCCAGGCATGGTGGCGGGCTGGGCCAAAGGCCGCTAGACCTGCTTGGCACGGGGACGGAAAGCGCACTTACTTTCAGAGCGCACGGGATCGCTGGCTCGTCCGCTCTTACACCTCTTATTGACTCCCTTCCCCTCACGACAGTCCTATCTCAGCCTCGGAGAGTCGCGGAGCTTTCTTTGAGCGCGTTTCTTGTTTTGGAGGGGGCGGTCGGGTCGCGTTGCGTTTTCCGCGCTTGGGCTGCCAGCTTTCCAGAACCCCGCGTTGTCCTTGCGTGGACCGCTCGTTGTCCACGCGTTGCCGCCCGTCCCTGTGCCCTGGCTGCAAGAACTTATTACGCCGCAGCTCTCTGTTGTGAGCTGTGGTCTTATCAGCTCGATTACGTCACCGCTCGCTCTTGGGAGCCGCGGTGCTAAGAGCCTTTGGGAGTATTATGGGCCTCTTGGGGGGCTCTTGGGAGCCTCTTGGGTGCCTCTTGGGGACCTTTTGGGGCTTTTCGGGGGCCTCTGGGGGCCTCCTGGGAGCTTCTGGGTGGCGGGGGTGAAGGGACTAGGCTGCCTTTGGCCGTCTTTGGCTCTCTTGGGGGCCTCTTGGGGCCTTCTTGGGGCCGTCCTGGGGCCGTCTTGGGCCGTCTTGGTGCCTCTTGGGCCGTCTTGGCGCCGTCTTGGGCCGTTTGGGGGCCCTCTTGGGGGCCTCTTGGGCCTTCTTGGGGCGCTCTTGGGGGCCTCTTGGGCAGTCTTGGGCGCCTCTTGGCCCGTCTTGGCGCCCTCTTCGGCTATTTTGGGGGCCTCTTGGGAACATCTTGGGCCGTCTTGGGGCGGTCTTTGGGGCCTCTTGGACCGTCTTCAACGCCATGAAAGGCGAAAAGCCGTATATGCTAGAAATGTACGTTTTCCTTCAGAAAATCAATGATTTTGGCCTCGTGGGGCCCTCTTGGGACGCCTCGTGGGCGCCTCCTGGGGCGTCGTGGAGGCCTCTTGGGACGTCTTGGGGCCGCCTTGGGCGGTCTTGGGCTCTCTTGGAGCGCTCTTGGGCCGTCTTGGGCGCTTCTTGGACCGTCTTGGGCCGTCTTGGGCGCCGTCTTGGCCGCTTCTTGGGCTGTCTTAGGCGCCTAAGACGGCCCAAGAAGCGCCCCAAGAAGCGTTCTCCGATGATGTCTCGAGCGAAACGCTGTTTTTAAGCCCCGAAGGCCGTCCTACTCGATAAAAAACGAGGCGGGAGGGCAATTAGATCCGGGCCCGCGGATGCCAACCCCCTCGAACTCCCCCAAGTCCAATTTCTTCCGACTAACGGACCGCACGCTAACGCGCGCTTTCCGTCATCCGGGGCTCGCGATGCCAACCCCCTCGAACTCCCCCAAGTCCAATTTCTTCCGACTAACGGACCGCACGCTAACGCGCGCTTTCCGTCATCCGCCGCCCCCTGTCGATTCATCGCAGGGGTGCTTGGCGTGCTGAACCCTCTCGGTTTTGGTTTTGGTTCTTTTTCCAAAAGAACTCTCCCTGGGAGTTCGGCCCGTCCCGCCGGCCACCCGGAAAGATTG